TGTTTTCCCTCGTTTTGTCTGCTTTCTGAAATGCCATGTCCAATAAGAGAACTGAGATTTACCCTGTATGAGGATGTAAGGGAAGCCTTCGAATCAGCGCTCCTGTGGCTTTCTTGATATTGTCTCGACGATTTATAATTTTTCGAACAGGCACAGAAGCTTTTTGAAATGCCACAACAACTGTTTTTAAAACTCCCCAGTCACATTTTGTTAGCTATGTTCAAGGACAGTCGTCGTAAGCTTCGAAAAAGTTCTGCAAACATACCAAAAACGACACTGTGCGATATCAAAAGGTGCGGTGCAAGTGCAACCACACGATTTTCGCCTGTTCATATCCCAGCAAACCAATCAGTGTATGTCTGCGCAGAAATTGAGGACCGCTTCCATTATCATTATCATCTATGCGAGAAGCAGCGAAAGTCAGACAATGTCTGGCCCTTTTTGCCAAAATGAACTGTCCAGTTGAGAGGCGCTTGCGGACAGCGTGGATCTTCTCTGAGTCATTTGAATCCATCATGAGATCTCGACTTTCTCACCGCTGCTAATTTCTTTTTTTTTAATTTTTCAGCTTCCTTTCGCGTCGACTCTGCTTCCTTATTCGCAAGCGGCAGGAAATTTTCAGTCTTGTTACTTTGCGAGCGCAAAACCCATTCTTGCGAACCCGTGTCGCCCCATGAAAAATAGCCGCCGCACCATGCCACCGCTGCACTCTCGCCTCCTTCACGCCACACCTTCGAAGGCCTCGGTGACTCTGTCGATCTCAGCACCATAGCATTTATCTGAGAGGACCGCGAGACCCACGACTCTAAAAAGACACTGATTTTATCGCATCATTCTGCTAGCTTTATGCTCTGTGTTTACGCAAATTAGTTTCATCTTGACAAAATCTTCTAAAAATTTGCTAACCAATTTGGATTGAAAAGCACTGCGGATAAACTATCTCTGTAGGCGCGTATTTGCTTGATATATGGACGAATATGCTCATGCACTTCAAAAATCAAGATTAGATTAGTTTTTGTGCGTTTTTGCATATATGCAAATGCAAAAACGCATATTGTGGCTGTTTGTGTATGTGTATGTGTGTGTGTGCGTGTGTGTGTGTGTGCGTGTGTGTGTGTGTGCGTGTGTGTGTGTGCTTATGTGTGTGCGCCTTCTGGGTATTTCAGCTCGGCAACCAAGCAGGCTCCGAAGCAGAAATTCTGCCACTGATTTCCTGCTCAGTCGCTACTGCGGAAATGCAGTGCCGACTTTCATATACGTCTGGGCCCCACATAAGAGAGCACGAAAGTTTTGACGGAAAAATAGCTAAGTCAGGACCAGAAAAGTTCGAGCGCTAAAATTTTATGGGGATGTACCCTGTCCACGTACAACTTAAAGATTTTAAATTCAGCCCCATGTATGCGTAGTTCTCTCGTATAGGCACCTAAAAGTTTAGGCGGGAGATTACTCACCGAACAACTAGGTTATTTTCAGTGAACGACCGCTCAACGAAAATTCTTTATTTTTCCTCTTGCAAAATTTACAATGATTTGCGGTAAAAAATACACAAGCTGAACGTAAAGCAACAACAATTCATGTAGATAACGATCTGTCTGCTTCAGGTTTAATGCAAAAATGCATGGTCGTACCGGCAAGTCGGTGTGTTTCAGTTTAGGTTT